TAAACAGACTTAAAGTCTTGGAGCCTAAGATGAGCCCAATCATATCGTGCTTGTGGAAGAGTGGCCAACTTTAAATTGTCATATCCTTCCTTTAAACCATTCCACAAAACAAATGGATCTATCACTGAGAGATATTCAATTTTCAACCATTCATCAAGGTGATGGCGCAAGAAAATCAAGGCCTTAGCACAGTCTTGTGTAGATGTTTTATCTTTATCTCTAATGGCTTCTCCAAGACCCATTGCATCTAAATGGATTTCAGCATCCAATACCCATGTCATATAGTTCTTGCCCGAAATTTCAAGGGCAACGAACTTTCTTTTCATAATATCAGACATTTAAAAAAGAAATACAAATTTGAGAAAAATTATACCTTAATTTTCTCAAAGATCTTCTTGAGATGGTAGAGCCTCATGCTGATAACGTGTTATAAAATATAACCCAAAATAACAATATAGAACAAGCAAAACAAACTAAGAGATATACATAGAAAGAGAAAGAGAGATTCTTATTTCTTCTTCAATTGTGTGTATTTTCCTATCTATTACAAGGCCTTTATATATGCATAAAAAGTGAAGAAAATATGTCATGGAATATGTCATTGAACATACAAAATATGTCATTGAATATGTCATTAAGCATTTGAGATGAAGATCATGGAAGAAGAGTAGACATCCACCATAATGTGATATTTATCATAACAGTTTTGGTTTTTTCTTTTCTTTAATTTTTTTTTTTGTTAATTATAATTGTCAAATATTTTATTATAATATACATGTGTCATTCTTTAATCGGTTCATTTAATATGTCATTAGCGAGTGTCATTCACGCATATGGTTTATCGGACTCGGATGTTCACGAGATACACTTATTAGCCACTTGAAGTGTTAAAATGGTAAACGGGTCAATTGAGGTGTCCGTGTGATCATTGAGCACAACTTAAAGGGGTCGTTTATGTATTTCGCCTTTTTAGAATTATTATTATTAGTAATTCTAAAATTCTATATGGTTGTTATAGATGGGTAATTCTACAAAGAGCGTACTGCTATAAATATGATTGTTGTTGTATAGGCAAAAGATGTTATAGAATAGTAAAATATAACTTAAAAAATTAATTCTGAGAAAAACTTGACTTTTAAAGTGAATGCCTGTTATATAAAGATGTTATACACAGGCCTGACTGCATATGTAAAGTGGCACCCGGATTACACAAATGACATATGGGTGCCATGGTTCAGACGTTGCTTTTGAAGTCTCTAATGTACCGCACAGTGCTGGGCTCAATTCTAAATCCCTCCATCTTGTAAAAATAGCACGGTATAGCCAGTTTTTGGATTGGTCATTCAAAAATAGCCAACGTTTACGAAGTCAATGAACTCCAGCATAATATACTGGAGTTCGGTTCTCCTGTGTATGAACTCCAGCATATTATGTTGAACCAGTATATTTTGCTGACTCCAGTATAATATACTGGAGACTGGAACACCGGTGCTCCAAACTTCAGGATATTATACTGGACAATTGTACTTGCTGGAACTCCAGTATATTATGCTGGAGTTCTAGTGTACTTATGCTGGAGATCATATTATGCTGGAGTTCCAGCATACTTATCCTGGAACTCCAGTATAATATGCTGGAGTTCAAGCATACTTATGCTGGAACTCCAGTATAATATACTGGCATATTTTTCGAGTTTTGAACAGTGTTTTCGCTCATATTTATCTTTACATGAAAATGGCTAAATTTCAATTACTTTTGAAACTGGACTATTTTTGAACGACCAATTGTAAATCTAGCTATTTTTGAATTTCTCCCTCCATCTTCTTCCCTTTTTTAAATTTCTTTACATTAGCCTTCATTTTGCTTACTATAATTATACTTTTCCATAAGCAATTTCTTTCGTAATTTTAGAATTCTAAGTACTATATACTTTCTCTCTTTCTAGTGATACAATATCAATTTATATATTGGAGTACAATTGGAGCAGTATCATTTGTTGACTTTTGAAAAAAATGTCCTGACAAATAGAGGTTTTAAGTTTTCTTCCTCGTTTGAGGCTTCTGCTGGTCATCTTTACCAGCTCTATCTCCTCTTTGATTCTCATATATTGATAACTTTAAAATTTTGGCTTTGAAAATGTTTGTCATATAACGCAACAATTAAATGGAAAAAATTAACCCAAAAATAATGATCAATTAATCAAATCAAACAAAGATTATATACTACTCCGTAATTAAGCTACTCTTTAAGAAAATTTTCTAATTGCAGGCGTATTTTCATGAAATAATTTTTTATGTACTTTTATCTAGAAAAATAGTAAATCAAGCGTTAAAAAGTTAAACTAAAATCGAATATATTTGCCTTTTTATAATATGGATATATGTATATACCTACCCACTAGCCAGAAAGACCGACTAGGAAAAATGGATGAACGAATAGTTATATATATATATATATATATATATATATATATATAAAATATAGTGCCACCCGCAATATTCAAATCCTGGATTTGCCTCTGATAAAAGTCATACACTACTAGCAGGAGCGTAAGACAATACTTTGCTTGCAATTCGTGACATACGTCATAATAATGCCTGGGTTATGAACTAAATACTATACAAAAACGGATGATACAGATCATCTGGAACTCCAATATTATCGACTATGGTTCCTGAAACCCTCATTTCATGAGACAAAAAAGAACTATAGTAAATTCTCACATAGTGCCTATCTGGAGGATGAAAAGAATCTTAGCATACTGATGTTAAATATCAAGGGAATGACCCAAAATCCTATACATACCAACCAGCCAAAGATGTTTCTCCAGTAATAATCCTGTCACATTAACTTCAGGGATCAATAGAGATACTCTTGAGCACATCACGATTCATTATCTATCACGTAGTTTGAATTTCCTAGAATCTACTTTAGCTCATATACACAGGAAGGGTTAGGATCAATCTCACATCCCAGTTAAACTTGCTATGGTCCTGCCTTGAAACTACACACATAATCACCGTTGTAAACAAATGTACAAGGTTGGCACNAAATTCTCACATAGTGCCTATCTGGAGGATGAAAAGAATCTTAGCATACTGATGTTAAATATCAAGGGAATGACCCAAAATCCTATATATACCGACCAGCCAAAGATGTTTCTCCAGTAATAATCCTGTCACATTAACTTCAGGGATCAATAGAGATACTTTTGAGAACATCACGATTCATCATCTATTACGTAGTTTGAATTTCCTAGAATCAACTTTAGCTCATATACACAGGAAGGGTTAGGATCAATCTCATCACATCCCAGGTAAACTTGCTATGGTCCAGCCTTGAAACTACACACACAATCACCATTGTAAACAAATGTACAAGGTTGGCAACTAGGAGGTTTTTAAGGCTATGGAAATCCTACACAAATATAATGATATCACTGGCAAATGCCTACATCCATTGACAAAAGACAAGAGTCTTGCATGTGGGCTTCAGCCAAATACATGATCGGGATGCTAAGATAATATTATTGAATATTTAATTAGGAATATAGAGTAGGTTGTGCCAAATACTTTTAGGTATAAACCTGATTTGTCTAAAGGCATCATCAATTTAAATGGGATCAAATAGCAGACCTAAAGTTTGGCCAGGGCATATTAGTAAATGACACAGGTCTTAACACCTTCTCTAAAACCACCCATCAAAGACGCTGAAACATATCAACTAAATATTGAAAGTCCGCTATGTATCAACCTGTCTGACAACTGAGACTGCAAATGTAATCATTATATTGCAGATATCATTCAACAGGGCAAAAAAGTGCCAGGAGAGTGCGTACCTGTAATACCTAACGTGGAAGAAGGGGTTCTTTCTCATCAGGTCCAACGCGATGGCTAGCCTGTAAAATGTCGTAAAAGATGAGAGGAATACATGCATGCATAATCTTCTGAAAAAACAAGAAAACAGGTCTTTGCAAGTTGATCAGAGTCTTACATCTTCATTTGCTCCAGCGGCCATATTTATGAAGGATCCATCCTTTGACCTGTAGAGATCAAGCACTCAAATTTTTTTCCAACGAAGAAGCACCAGAATGATGATATCAAATGTGTAGTAAGATTAGGCAACAGAAAGACTAAAGACATAGCACAACTTGCATCAAAGTGATAACTATGATTTTCTGTCAAACCTGTATAGTTAATAAGACCATATATTAGATAAATAATAGTTTAATGGAAAGTACAAAAAATTGAACCAGAAAAAGCAATTGTTTCATATTGACTCCGTCTGATTCCATGTCCACTCAAAATAAATCATTAACCCTCTCTGCTCTTGGAACAAGGACCCTGAGGAAATTCCCCATTTTACTTTCATAATTCAGAGAATAGTATTAGAAAGGCACCAAGGTAGCGTGAAAAAAGGTGAGGCTCAATGCCTCTAGTACATCAAGTCATGCATCAACATAGTGGGTAATACTCTTGATAGTGGCCCAAAAACTGATAACAAACAAAAAGAGCTCTTGATCTTATCAATAGGGATTCTCACTCAAATGCTCTCCTCTTTCTTCCTTTTCCTTTTCCAATTCTGAACTGGGGGGTATTCCCTATTTTAAAGTTTTTGACATGAAAACTCCTTTTTTTCCGTGCTTGCCAATTACTTACATTTCGTAAGTTTTGCTAGCAGTCACCAAAAGATTTCCCGTTTGAAAAAAGTTGGATCCTTCCTCTCATTTTAATATATCTTGTGAAGACAGCCACAAAGTTGAGGTGTCATTCAGTCATGCACTTCTTCATCACTTGTTTTACTTTCTAGATACAATTAAGTTTCATTAGTTGAACTTGTCGTAAAGGCTTACAATATGGCAAGTGGACCATTTATGAGAAAGTAAAAAAAAAAACAGTAATAATTTGGATATAAATTTAAGATTGCAAAGCTTTTTCTCTTTTGGGGGGATAAAGAGCTCATGAAATTTCATACTCTTGCATCTTTTTGATGCCTTTTAATACAACAATTTTATTTCATCAAAAAAAGCTCATGAAATTTCAAGGGCTCCATATCTAAGTAAAACTACCCAATTAGCTCACTTGGCTGCATGAAAAATATCTATACCTTTTGTGATAGTGAAAGGTAGAGGTCTGCCATTGGCCCTCCAAGATTCATCCGGTTGCAACTAGCATACTAAAGGAACTAAAACTTTCTAAACATCTGAATCCCAGATAGTCTCACACCAGATCAAGTGGTATACGCCATCATAGTGTACAGAACTTGCACATTTCCAATACTTTAATGTCTGCAAACATATAGATATGTCTACATTGTAACCTGGGTCCAGTATCTCCCATACTCTTGGGGTTTGACACTACCGACTCCTAAGAATGATAAATACTTGGTCCAAAACAATCTAAAGGGCAAATCTAGACATAAGCATCTCACAAACCCGTAGATATAAGACGTTGTAAGGTAACCCTGATCTCTCCTCTATATCAATTTTGCTTTCACAAAGTTGAAACATGAAAAAAGAGTGCACCTGTAGTTTTTCTGAGAATCCATTTCCAAACTATCGTTTTGTGTCTCATCCTTGACCTTTGCAAGAGGTGAAAAGAACTGAAAAGTTGAAGCTTGACGTGAGTCCAAGAAAAAAATTGATCATGCCACTCAAAATTGATAACAGCACCCAAATATAACCTGATGCATCGAGATAAACACAATAGAGATTCCTAAAATAAAGTTCATTGTAAGGGTATGTCCAAACAGAACAGCAGATGCTATTCCAGTAAAAATAGTGGCAACAGTTGATGAATACTTCTTCAGAATTGTATCTGCAAATGAAAAATTGAAGCTATGATTAGTTAATGCATTTAATTAGTAAAATTTACAAGACAATACAAACAACTTGGAAAAATGAAATCTGCATGTCACTCACTACCAGATTGGACCTACCTTTTTTGATAAGGAGATTGGACCTACCTTGTAAGAACTAGTATCTAAATTCAATAGCACATACTCAAAAATTGAGACGGCCCATTTTTGGAGTGCAGAAATTGGCCAAATTTAAGGAGAAAAAAGCTCAAGTCCCACATACAACAGAATTTTAAACACCAAAACTTTTTATGGAATAGAAATGGATGGTTATATGGGATGTAAACATGATGCATCTTGTCGACTCGGGAAGCCAAATAAGTGAGAGAGGCCTCACCTGCATACTTGAAGAAAAACGAAGACAGGATTCCCTGAGCTGCATTGTTGCATATCAAAAACATTGTTGCTCGTGAGTGTCCCCGTAAGATATCCAAACTGTCAGGTCCTAAAGGGCATTTGGGACAGAATTTTAACCACGAGTAAAGGAAGAAATTAAGTTTTGTGCATTAACCAACAATTTAGAAGTACGTCCTCAACAATGGTAGAGGTGGACTGATACACCATAACCATTTTAGCCAAAGCCAAAAAGACTTGGGAAGTATAAGCAAGTTTGCATCCTGCAATGGATGGTATTTCATCTAATAGTCCCAGAAACAAGATTTCCCATTCATACCTTTGAAAATGGCAGTTCCAAGTATGCCTAGGAAGTTGAAGATCGCACCATATCCGTACAAAAACAAATTCTGCAAAGAGCAGTTCAGTTGTTTGCATGTATCATTTATAAAGTCATAAACACCCATTAAGCAAAGCCACACCTAGAAGTTAGAAGCACCTCACTACTTGGAGCATCTAGATTATCAAACTATTAGCTTGTAAAATTACATCAAGCAAAGATACTGCTCAGAAAAACCTGATTATTAGCAAATCCGTAAGTCATAACAGTTCTAGGTGATGGTTCAAACTGACACTGAAGTAACTATGGGAAACGAAAGAAGAAGAAGCTAAGGAGGAGAAGATGTCTATGGTTTTTCCTGGGAACCAGTTGAATGAAGTCGAACTCACTGCAGCATTTTAAAGCATTTTTGGAGTGATCAGCAGTAAAAGTTCACCTGAAGATAAATGCTAGTCTCGAATTGGCTCTTCAAAGCATATTCATTGTAGACAGAAGCCAGTGAAGGAACAGTGACCTGAATTATTATATTGCATCAGTTTCTATACATTAAATTAGGCAACCAGGTGAAAAGTCGAGAAAATATGGCATTAAGGTTTTGTCCAGTACAAGTGGCACTATTTGTGAACCATGTATATTCTCTTAGGACCCCCACAGAAAAAAAAAAGAAAGAAAGGGAATATGCATGAACATGGAACATTGCAAACTGATGCCCAGATCCCCAATGTGAAGTGATTCTTGAAAGCAGTAGCACTCAAAGCTAGAATATCTGATGGATCACCCAAGCTTAGAATGTGCGTAGTCATTAAGAATTATCTTCATATTCATACTTACGAAAATCATGGTATACAAATATGCGCCTGTTGTCACTGGAAGACCCAAAGCTGTTGTACCTTCCGGCAAAGTGCGCAGCTGATTCACACTGATGCCAATAAGCAATAGTGCAAGAGCCTCCCACTGTGACCAATTACTTTAGACAGTCATAGATAGCTAACATTTTTTCAGGCTACAAGAAGTATAAAGACAGCATGGCCGAAATCTAAATATCAACTAAATACAGGTGACCATAGTTAATAAACAAACCTCTGTTTTCTTAACCGACCTGAATTATGGAAAAACGACGTTTCATAATCATCTTTAACAAGATTGCAATTACCAAAACCTGTAGGTTTGACAAATTAAAAAAGAAAACTTATCACCAACAGAAACTTCGAGAAAATAAATCTACCAGCAGAAGAAAAGGAAAGATGTGGCACAAGTATGTTAAGAAATAAGTGAATCCTAAGATTAGGCATCACAAGCAGTCAAGCACTCAGGCAGTAATCACAAAATCCTTGGATACAAGCCGCAATTAAATGACTAGCCAGCTCACCACCTAATCCCAACTACAACACTTGATGTGCGCCCATCGACTCCAGCTTTGTGGGGCTGGATTACCATGGCAACCCATGCTTGTGAATTGGACAGGCTGCCTGATGGATCATCCAAGGTACAGTTGGCCTGGGCACTCCGATATCCCAAAGAAAATAAGTACTAAACAGTTCACTACCATCCAAAGAGAAACAAGCAAAACCGTATATCTTCCACTAAATCCTGAGGACATATGTGGAATATTTAACACCTACAGTAAATCCTTCCAAATTTCAATCTCCGTACATTTTAACTGTGGTTCCAAAACTACTGTAGAATTCTCACGTGAAGTTGAAAGCTCTGACAGTGTCAGCAATAACTATAAGCAAATGGATACCTTCAAGTTACTCAGCATCTTTACAGTAGCAGGGTTAAAATATAACTGCACGAAGAACAACAGTGTCATTAGGAAGTGCGAGAGGATAGTTTTACCCCAATAACATGCACCAAAACTGCAAAACTTCAGGACTAGACAAGAAAGTTCATCAGGTAAAAAGCGCGTAAGATAAAAGTACAAAGGTAAGAGGACATGAATTCCTGAATTCCAGTAGTTTAACATAAGATTTTGAAGAAAATAGTCACAATAGATACAGAATGTCAGAAATCCAGAAGGTTATACATTTCCACTTGAAGTGACAACCAAATCTCTTCATGCCAAAGTTCTCAACTTTCAGGGAAGATACTCAAATTACTTTCTGATCTAAAACAAGAAAAGAGGTTATAAAAAAAATATTCCTTTTTTTAAATATAAAAAAAAAATCTTCTTGTAATGTACATTTGAGTAATATGTACAGAGATCTATAAGTTGGAAAGCACATGACATTCCTTAATAATATTAGAATTGCACACTACTGGAAACAAAATATCTAAGATAATGGTCATATCGATCAGTTATGCCTCCACCCCAAGCTAGTTGAGGTTGGGTATATTAATCCCTCTCTATAACCCATTCCGTTTTATTCGTTCCCATCTAAGATAAGGGCAGTAAGTCCATGAGAATATGATAAGCCTCTCATGAAACCTCTTAATACTACAGATCCAAGTGAGGAACCACAAAAAAATATTTACCTGCATAATAAACTTCAGGTAGTTATTAATAGCATAAAGCAGAGCTGGAACAGCCAGAAGCACATTGTTCCGAGCAGCCTGAAATTAATAAAGGAAAATGGTTCGTATCAAAAGTTGCCATGAACATACTTTCCTATAATTCTTAACATCGCACTTGTGTCCTAAGAGGTAGAGGAAGTCAGAGAAAGAACTTCTGAAAAGTTGGAAGCATTAATTTCAATGTTCAGATTGGCCTAAGTTTTAAAGAACCAAACACATTCGCACTGATTAATTAGAAAGAATTAACTTGGTGAAATGAAAACCTATTATTTTTCCTCTGTGGCCAGATAGGTTCCCACCTGTTACGAGGTGGCTTCATAACCTACTTAATTTGCCTGTTTATCTTAAGTATCATTGCCACATTTTCATAAAGGTAAGTAATAAAATTGGTATTGGCAATGTAGACGCAAAAATAATAGACTCATATGTTTAATTATGACTAATATATTGTTTAATTAAGTGATTATGTAAGATTAGCGGGATCTCTAGACATCTCATTGCTGTCTTTTTGCATCATAATTTGTATTAATGTGAAGTGAATATTTAAGATTAGTTGCTAAAATATATAAGCATAAAATGGATTTCACATTAAAAAATGACTTAAAAAGCCAAGACTAACGTGAAGAGCTTTGGGATTCCAGATTGACAACAGTAATATTTTCTTCGTACTCTTATCCCACTCTGTGCTGAATAATACAAAATTGTGGAATGGGTAATGGAGATAAATGGCTCCAGTTAAAACCGGCTTACCATTTTGGCACCTTAAAATTTTAATCTCATTCATAGAGTCTTATAAATGTAGCTTCTCCCTTACATATGTTCTAACAGAAAAAAGATCCCCTTCATATGGAAGAGCCTCCATATGATATGAGAGGACAGGAGTAATTGGGCAAAGAAAGAATCGACTGCATAATGGGAAGAAAATTTCTAAATAAACTAAGCTATCGTCCAAATATCAACCAGATTAGGTATATTCTTTTGCATACGTGAAAACACACATCTGAGTGGAAACATTGTTCTATTTTTTGACACAACTTCACAAGAAACTTTTATATCTATATAAGCCTAGTGAAATCACTTTGAGTATTAACAAGTCTTACCTGGAACAATGTGGAGAAAGAGAGAAGAGACTTCTCACCAGCCTTCTGGCCTCGAGCCTTCAAATGATACAAGAGATAGAGACATTTTAGAACAAGTGAATAGTTGTACCAACTACCAAGGTATCAAGAAATTAATAACAAATTATGATGCATATGAGCAATATCCAGTAGAGAATTTTGTTATATTGAAAAAGAAGAGAAGAAGCTCATAGAAAAATTGAAGGTGTAGAAGGTTATAGAATAAGTTAAGCAATGGAGAGACAAAGCATACCTGTAAGCATAGCATTACTACTGCAAATGCAACTTTTGCTAACTCAGTCAAGAAATTAACACTAATGGGACTAAATTCGAATTTGCCGTCAACTTTTGACATATATACAAGTATAGGCTGCAACAAAAGAAAGAAAAGAAAATATTTTTTATTCAATATACCTACATAACAAAATCGAGAATACTTACATGAAGAAACCCGTAAATGTTTCAGTATCACACAGTTCTAAATAATGACTACTCTAATACACCTTCTTCTTTAAATAAATACAAATTCGCAATAATTCAATATGTGAATATTAACATGGAAAAAGTAAGGACATCAAAAGCTCAAGGCCATACCGACTACCACCCCTTACTAAAAGAGGATATTCAGACTGCGAAGTACTCTTATTGGCCAAAGTCTCTGTTAACCAGTATTTCTCGTGGAAAGCATTTAAAATCATGCACACATAGGCAAAACTCAAAAATGAAAATTAGGCTTACCATCAATTTCTTTTGAGCCAGTTTACTTTCTAGAATCCAAGCTGACTCGGTTTTATTACTACCAATAGTTTTGCACAATTTAGCAAATTATACAAGAATTCTAGAATAATAAAAATTACCCCAATCAAGCGAAAAACCAGCAGAAGTAAACATCACGATAAACGACCCTTGTAGTCAAAGAAAGAACATGGTAGGCCAAAATATCCGATTCAATATAATCCAGCTCCTTCATCCTACCCTTTATTAGCTCCCGAATTTCTCAATGGTTTGTTCCGAATATGGGACCTCACAATGCTAAAACAGAGAGCTCTTGGAACTACAGAATCATACAGAAAAAGTTAGGCTTCCCAATCAATCCCAACATGCCTCGGAATCACTAATATCATTCTAAACTAAGAACCTTAGGGCTGTGATAAAACAACAAAGGTAAGAAATAAGAATACCTCACTTTTTCCAGCTCATACAATTTGCTTCGTATCAGTTCACTTTCAACATGCATAATTTATTCAAAAAATTCAAAAAAAAAAACTCGAGCTGATTATTTCTAGTTTCTAGCTTCATAGTTGAAGAGTAAGAAGTGCCAATACCTGTAAACCGACCAACACGCAATCACCGACAACCAAAAAAACATTGAAAGCGCGTGTTTTCAACGACACATCAGTGCGATGATGATCGTAAGCTTTAGAAACCGTTCTCGTGTTAGGCGAAACTCCTAATTTCGAGTGGCAAACACTGCATTCCGCCATTCCATTCATCTCGAACTTATTATTGCGTAAATGCGCGTATTATTTATAGCTGTAATTTTCTAGCTAATCGATCGATCAGTGAAGAAATTAGGTTTGGATTTTGATTTTTGATTTTTGTTTTGTTGGATCAGAATTTTTTTGATGAATTCAATTGAGGAGATGAGATAAAAGAGCAGTGTATTTGAAAAGAAAATGGAGTCTTTTGCCGTGCATTGGTTGAAATTTTGAGGGGCACTTCTGATATATTTGAAATGACTTAATTGCCCACGGTCTTTTACGCCGATGCAAGCGGGACTGAAGAGGGTAATATTGTCTTTAGGAGAGTAGGGAAATAAGTAACCGTATTAAATTAATGCGAGGTATACTGATGTAGAAATGTCAGAATGGTCTCTTGAATTTGAGGGTAGATTCAAAGCAGTGGAAGCAAAGAAGGCGGCTTACCTAAGGTTAGTAGGGAGCACTGACGAGGAGGAGAAGAGAGAGAACAGTCAAAGGTATAAGGTAGCTAGGAAGGAGGCGAAGATGGCAGTGACGGAGGCTAAGACGACAGCTTTTGCTCGTCTGTATGAGGAACTAAGGAACAAAGGTGGGGAGAAGAAGTTATTCCGACTCGCTAAGGCGAGAGAGAGGACAACTCGGGATCTGGACCAAGTGAGGTGCATAAAAGATGATGACGGCAAAGTTTTGATGGGAGATGACCAGATTAAGAGGAGGTG